TGATCATTATCAAGCATTATTATCCCAATTAATGTATCATTTAATAATAATTGCTAATGAGTAATTAACTTACCAGAAAATATGAAAAATTAATCTTAAAACAGTGCGGTGTTTTTTTTATCAAATTTAACAATCATGTGCTATGATAGTAGGATGATGAAAATTTGATTGATCTTTAATTAACCCCCTTAAATGCTCATCATTTAAATTGTTCAAAAATAAATAAGGGAGGTGCAATTTTTTATAAGGAGAATAATAATTTTTCATGCTTTATAGAGTAATAATTATGAATTCCAGGATTGGATAATTTCGTATTTTTTAATTTATTCTTACTATTATACGATTTCTTAAATATCAAATGAATTACTCGAATTCAAATTGCTAAATTCTATAAATTTTCGATTATAGAACAAATTTTGAAAATTACCATATAAAAATTATAAAATTTGCACAACAAATGATAAAATCCATATGCTCAAGAATTTATAATTTCATCTTTACGATATAAACTAAAATTAACATTTATGAAATATTAAACCATAACCTTTGCATCTTTTTAAATCTCTTATATACATATTAATTTGATAAATGATAATGATAATGGGATGACACAATACATGAATGGTTATTACTTGTTGGATGAATAAAATAATTATTAGTGTTTTAACTAATTTATATGCAAAGAAATTTCACATTCAAATTATTTTATCATTGTTTACATCGTTATTTGCTTGTTTATTTATTCATACATCAAATACAACTAATTGATTTTATTGTAAATTAATTTGTAAAAGGCGCATTTTTTCACTTTTATTTTGTCATCCCATTGTCACATATATTAGTTTGACTCAATAGTGCAAAAAAAAAAATGACGAAATGATTGAACAAAAAAGTGATGCCAGTGTTGAAATGAATTTTTTATTAATTTAAATTTTAGATTAAAGTACTATTTAATAATGATGATAACTTTTGGGAAATTAAAGTAAATGTATTGAAAATTTTGGAATAAAAAAGGCAAACAAACCAATCAATGGGAAAAAATAAAAAGAACAAATTTCAAATTTCTAATTAAATCTAAAACAGTAATTTTTCCATACGTACATTTCCACTAATTCATTGCATAATTATGGCACAGTTACGGAAATTATGAAATAAATGAATGAAACTGTAAAAATTGAAATTAATAATTTTAATGAAGTTGAACATAAAGTTTAATTTGGTAAATTTGAAATTTCAAATACTTGCTCAAAATATTTTGACTAGATCAAATATTATCAAAATTATCATTGCCACTTTCTCTTTCCAAAATAAATTTTTTATTAATGCATAAGCATAAACTTTTTGACAAATTTAAATTTTCAAATATTTGTTTAAAAAAAAATCTTGACTCATTCAGATTAAACATATTACCAAAATTGTCCTTGCAAAGTTATTTTTCGAAAAGATGCAAACTTGACGTTTCCTTTTTCTTTTTTTTTTATTCTAAAAAAATGGAAAAACTTTACGAATAGCATTAACCTTTTGAAATAACAAAATTTCATCGAATAAAATTTTGAATTTGCTTCTTTTTTTTAAATTTTAAACTTGTTATAGTGAGTTGTGCAATTGTAATATTTTCTTCTTTTTATCTTTTTTTTGTGACATTTATGAAACAAAAAGTCATTTTCTGTTTGCAAATTTCAACTTTTAATTTTGCTAATTACAAATTATCCCATTTGTACCATTAATAATTAAGTTTTTCATTTAAGATTAGATGAAAAGAATTGGAAAAGGATATTTTAAGGGAAGCGAAAAGGATTGATAATGTTAAAAGTAATGTTGAAAGTAGCTTTT